GATTTCTTCCCCTTTCCCCTTTCCCATTGTTTTTTTTTTTTTTTTTGTTTGTTTGTTTGTTTTGGTACCAAGGCTCAAACTCAGGACCTTGCCCTTGCCCTGTAGGCCCCTATGCTGCTGAGCTAAGTCCCCAGCCCAGAAATTTCTATTTTCTCTAGGACTCTCCACACTGTGTTCCCAGTGGCTGTATTTGTTACACTTCCACCAACAATGCCCACACCCTTGCTAGCATTTGTTATTATTATATATATTTTTGATGCTAGTCATTCTTTCTGCGGTAAAATTGTATCTCTGTGTAGTTTTAATTTGCATTTCTCTAGTGGCCAGCAATAAGAAAATTTCTTCATGTGTTTAGTAGCCATTTGTGCTTCTGAGAAGGACCTGTTCATTTCAATTGCCCATTTTTGGATTAGGTGTTTTATTTTGGGAGGTCTAACTTTTGTGTTCTTTATATGTTCTTGACACTAGTCCTCTGTGGAAGCTGGCAACAATTTTCTCATTCTGTAGGTTGTCTCTTCACTCTTTTGATTGTTTACTGCACAGAAGCTTTTTAATTTGATATGATCACACGTATTGATTCTTGGTATTATTTCTTGTGCAGTTGGAGTTCTGTTCAGGATGTTCTTGTTTACAACTGTGTCTTCAAGATCTGTGTCTTCCAGTAGATTAATCATTTCTATTTTAACTTTTTTTAGAAACAGGATCTTGCTGCATAGTTCAGGCTGGCCTTGAGCTCACTGTGTAGTCCAGGGTGGCCTCAAACTCCATGCAATGCTCCTGTCTCAGCCTCCCAAATGATGAGATTATTAGGTGTGAACCACCACACCTAGCTATTTTAACATTTAGATCTTTGGGCCATTTTGTTTTTAGCTTACTACATAGTGAGATGTATGACTGTGTACTCAGTTCTCTGCATGTGGGTATTCAGTTTCCCAGCACCACTTTAAATTAGAGAGGCTATCTTTTCTCCAGTGTGTGTTTTTGGCTCCTTTATCAAAGATCAAATGGCTTTATGTGCCTGGGGTCCTGCCACGCTCCTTCTCTGTTTAACTTGACATTACTTTTGTTGTGGGCAGTCTTCTCGATGTCTCCCTGTCTTAGTTTTTTCTTATTGCTGGGACAAAATACCCAACACCTAGAATTAAGGGAGGAGAGGTTTATTTAGTTCACAGTTTGTGGTGGTTTCAGTCCATAATCAGTTGACTCTAAAGCAGAGCGGCAGGGCACAGGGGCAACACTTCAAGGAAGCAGAAGACAGTAAAAGCAGCCAGAGCAAAAGAAGGGGGACAGCAAGCTTCTTCTTCTCCCTTATATTGGAAGCAGGCTACCAGCCCCCAGGTTGGGTGCAGCAATCACAAAATCTTCAAGCCTTCCTCTTGCATAGGCTCAGGAGTTTTACAAAGTGAGGACTTTGGCCTGCTGCTGAATCTCTTAATTAAATTTCTAAGTTTCTCAAGTTGATACAATGTATCAACCATTCCCCCCAACTCCCAAAGCCTGATTTGGTCATAGGTGGGGCTTTTCAGAGGTGGCTGGATCTAGGGTATGTGACACTGGGATTGAGTGTGAGGTGACGGAATTAAGGAAACCCCACCCCAGGTGGGTTGCATCACACAAAGGCCTGTGTTCTGTGAGGGATAAAAGAGAAGCAGGCTGCTGCGGCTTTGGCTGCTGCCCTGCTTTGCCATGAACTCTTTCTCCTGTGTGATGCCACTCCACCATGCTGCCTTGTCTTGGAGCCAGCTGACTATGAGCCCTCTACAAATTGAGCATTAAATAACCCTTTCCTCCTTTAACTGTAGGTATTGGCTTTTTGTCTTAGCAACAAGAAAAAGTAACTAAGTGTTATGGCTGATACATTGTGTCAACTTGAGAAGCTTAGAAGTTTAACTAAGAAACTCAGCAGGGAGCCAGGGCTCTTACTTTGTAAACATCCTCATCCTTCCTAAGAGGAGGGCACAGAGATTTTATGATTACTACACCTGCTGGGGGGTGGTAGCCTGCTTACAATATAAGGGAGGAAAAGAGGACCACTTCTCCCACTTTTGCTCCTGCTGCTTTTGCTGGCTGCTCCTTAAGTGTTGCGCCTGTGCTGAGCCCCCCTGCCTTGGAGTCAGCTAATTATGGACTGAAACCTCCACAAACTGTGAGCTAAATAAACCTTTCTTTCCTTCATTTTGAGTGTTGGGTATTTTGTCCCAGCAACCAGAGAAAAGTAACCAAGACACTGCCTGAACAGGTTGATAGCTTTGTTTATTGAGGTTCAGGACAGAGTCCTGGAAAGTGTCTGAGAGCACTGTGGACCACGTGGGCCTTGTCACAGCCAGTGTTGCCATGCGGTGGTCTGGCAGGACCATTTTCCCGTGGCCACATCTGTAGATCTTTTCTCTAGGGTCAGCCCTTTTCACCAGGAGGAACCTTCTAATCTGTGACAGTAGTGTGTGAGCCGCCATCGTGCTCAGGGAACCCATGGCTATAGAAGTCTCAGAGGGAATTCAGTTACACTGTGCATAGTCCCCCCACCCTCATTCTGGTGCCTCCAGTTTCCATGGCTTCTCATGACTGTGCCATCTGTGAGCTTCTGGCTGTGCTTCCTATGTGGCTGGCTTTGGTGTCAGCTTTTTTCTGGTATGTTGGGTCTGTTGTTCCTCATCCATCTGCTTTCCAGCTTACACAATTTTCTCTCCCCTCTTTTATAATTTTATCCTTTAAAAATCATTTTAGTTAGGTATAGCAATGCATGCCCATAAACCCACCTACTTGGGAGGCTGAGGCAGGAGGATTGCAAATTGGACCATAATATTAAGAGAAATAAGACACAGAAGCTTAAATATTACATGGCTTCTCTTATATAAGAAACTCAAATATATATACATATATATATGAATGGAAGATTTATAAATAGGAGGGAGATGATATTTTTCAAGTTTGTGGGAGAATCAGAGATGGAGGAAGGAGAAGAAAGGAGGGGAGGGAAAAAAAGATGGGAACAAATAAAGAGTTGAAAGGAAAAAAGGATGAAAATAGAGCTTTTGTTAATGGGAAAGAGACCAGGAGTTGAAAGGAACAGGGAAGGAGGGGAGGGGTAGAGGGTGAGAAAAAAAGAGAGAGAGAAAAAAAGAACTAAGATGTACATGTAACAACTCCCCATGAAAACTGTGATCATTATGTACTGGAAACATGTACTAATACAAAAGAATATTAAAACATAGAATATAGGAAACTTTTAAGTCCCCTAGAAAATAACAGAGATTTTGCTGTTATTAAGCAGAAACAAAAAAAGTATTAATAAGTGAAAAACATCACCATTTATATATTACAATTTAATGTGCATATATATATATATACATTAAATACAGAGATGAGCAGATGGCATGAGAGACTGATCAGTGTCGTGAACTACTCATATGCTGCTCAAAAGACACACCTGTGCAGAATCAAGCACAGAAGTTGAAAATAATATGAACAAGAATGTAAGTATTCATGAGAAAGCTGGTATAACAATGTGCTAATAGATGAAATCAAGAAAAACCACTAATAGCAAAGGAATAATAGAATGTTACGCAGTAATAAGAACTGCCCAGCAAACAAATATGACAGTCATGACCACTTCTGGATCTAGCAACACAACAAAAACCATTAGAATTGCAAAGATCAAGGAACAAATCCCAGAACAGGAGATTTTCACACATATCTGACACTGATAGATTCAGGAGGTAAAAATATAGTAAGTATATAGCTGGTTTTACCCATAATACAAAGTTTAATCTAATATACTTGACTCAGAGCATACGTTTATCTTAAAGCATGCATAGAGTAATTATGCAAGCATATTGGAAATTAGTGATAAAAGTGACGTTAAGTCCTTTATACATTTCTAACTATTAGTCACTCCTTAATAAATGAGGTAAACTTATCACAAACACACTGTCTCTTTTCTGAAACAGGGTGTTTTGGGCTTACCTCCAACTGTTATCTAGTCCAGCTGGCCTTGAACTCAAGATCGTCTTGCCTCAGCCTCCTAAGTTCTGGGGTCACAGGTGTACACCGATGTGCAGAGTAAAATCACCAAATACTTGATCACAGGTGACAACAAGAGCATTACATATCTCAACCTGTAGGCCAAGGGAAAACAATTCTAATTTTAAGGCATATCTACAAATAAGAAGTTAAATTATTTATGTGTTAAATTATTCTCTTACAAGGAAGCAGAAAAGGCACAGCAGAGTAAACCTAAGCAAAGCAGAGGAAGAGACTGGTAAACAGCGAAGTCAGGGAGGCAGAAAAGAAATGAAAACTAAACGTTGGTTCATTGAAAAAAAAGTAACAGGAAGTTTCCAGTGAGACCCATCAGAGAAAGAAAGAAAAAGGCTGCCAAGAAGCAATACTGAAAATAAAAACGCACATAAATTGAAATGAGGTTAAATTTTTAAAAAAATGATGAATGATAGGATAACTTCATGTCAGTGAAATTATAAAAATGCCTACTTTTCTAGAAAACCTGAAGTGTCAACTTGCTCAGGAAGATATAGAAAAGTTGAATTAATCAACGCTAACTGTGCAGTTAATCAAACCTCCCCTTCAGAAAATACAGGCTTAACAGGAAGGCTTTACTAAACCTTCAGAGAATCAAAAAGCAGATACCTTAAATCGGGTTTGCACATTCCAAAGGCTAAGTAAACTTGCTGAGTTCAAGAAAAGAAAATTACAGACTAACCTCACTATGGTAGCCCAGCTCCAAGGTAGCTCCCCAGGATCCTTGCTTCCTGGGGTGGGGTGGGCCTGCTCCCCACCAACCATGGCTTGTCTCTGTCCAGCAGGATAGGGCAGAAGTGACAGCGTGTGATGCTGGAAGCTATTATTATTATTATTATTATTATTATTTTGAGACAGGGTCTTTCTGTGGCCCAGGCTGATTTCAAATTCACTGGAATCCTGCCTCAGCCAACCCAGAGCTGGGATTATAGGTGTGCACCATCATATGGTGCACCCCCCAGCACCAGAGGCTATGTTATAAAGACATGAAAGTGTCTGCCCTCTCTGTCTATCTCGTTCTGGAGGAAGCTAACTTCTGGGTGAGGGGCATATTCCAGCATCCCGCAGATGGCATGAGACACTGAGTCTTCTGCCAACTGTCAGCACCAATCTGCCATGCCATAACTGAGTCCGATCCTGCAGCGGCTCCACTGGCTCACAACCTGCCTGGAGCCTCCCCAGAGACCCCAAGATCACCATAAACGTAAGTTGCTCCCCTATTTTTGACCCACAGAAGCTGAGAGATAAGCACGGTTTATTGTTGTTTGAATTCACTTGTCAGGGATAAGTACTGTGCAGCAGGAAAGAACCAATGTGTTTGCTTAGGAACTTAGATACCGAGGTCATAAATAAAGCACCACAGAAACGAACGAAGCGGCGTGCATTACAGTTTATCCCAGCACGTCAGAATGTCCACTTCAGGAGAATCTAACCTGACTCCTCAGATTGAGAAATTAAAGGAGAAAATACACGATCCTCTTACTGGATACCGAAAAAGCATTTGATAAAATTGTGCCATTTGTTCGTGATGAAGTTTGAAATCATGAAGGAAAAATTTAAACATGATGACGCTAATCTACCAATAACCATCAAGCACACATGCGAGGCACACTTTCAGGTGTGTGCTTCATAGGTGTAAAACCAGGAGGAAGCGATACTGTCCCACTTCCTTTCTACCTTGGAGAACTCAGCCTTTGGGACAGCACTAAAAAAGAGGAAATGTAAGCTTTGGAAAGGGAGAGACCCAAGTGTTCTCTCTTTGCAAACTACAATCATCACACAGATGACTCTGAAGCATTTCCATAACTGGATGTATGCGGTGAGTCCAGTGATATCGTTGGACACCAGGTCAGCACAGCAGAATGACCAGTGTTCCTAGCCCTCGATGATGACCAGAGAGAAAACAGAATAGAAGAACAAAGAGCCCATCCACAACGGCAAGAAAAAGCATGTCGGCCCCAGCGGTGAGTCAGTCAGAGATAGCAAATGTTTATGGAGGGAATTACAAAGTATTACGGGAAGAATTAAAGCAAGATCTAAAAATAAACGGAGAGCCATGTGTTCATGAATCAGAAAACTTGCTATCCTCCTACCTGTGCCAATTCCCCATACCCCGAATAATCCATAAACCCAAGCAAAATCTCAATGAAGTTAAAAAAAAATTTTTTTAAAAAAAAGTTTTGGGGCTGGTTGGACTTTGACAAGCTGATCTGAAATTCATAGGGAGGATTAAGAGCTAGATAATTTTGGAAGAGAACACCAGGCGGAGGGGGGAGTGGGGCTGATCTGCAGAGTGCAGGGACAGAGTGGGTGGGAAGGACTGGTGATGGGGGGATGTGGGGGGGGGTGCGGAGCGCGGCCCAGCGGGAAGCCAGGGCGGCAGCTGGGCTTTCAAACCTGTGGGGGAAAATGACTTGTGAAAATAGGGGAAGCCTGGAAAATTAGTTATACACACTGAAAAAACCTGGGATCAGGTTGTTACATTCCTGCTCCAAAATAAGTAAAAGCTAATCTTTCAGACTTCTAGGAGATACTGATGATATCTGGGCAGATAGTGATTTTAAAAACAGAAGGTCAGAATACATCAGGAATAAGTGAATTTACCTGCGCTTGTTTGACGGTTTCTGTCTAGGCATGACAAGTGGAACACAGCCGAAGCAAAGAGTTATTTAGGAGAAGGTATTTATTGTTTAGAGAATTGACAAGAGATCAGGATTTACAATTTTTAAAGAGTGCCTACAAATAAAATAGAAAAATAGGGAATGTTACAATAGAAAAATGTGCACAGGTTATGTAAAGGCAGTTCAGCAGGAAAGGAAATCCAGATACAACTCCATCAAGGCTCAAGGAGCTGGAGATACAGCTCAATGGCGCAGAGCCTGCCTGGCAAGCTAAGGTCATGAGTTCAAGTCAGGGACAGTGGGTGCCCACCTGTAATCCCAGCAGTCAGGAGGCTGAGGCAGGAGGATTGCTGGGAGTTCAAGCTATATTACACAGAAAGACCCTGGTACAAAGGGGAAAAAAAATCCAGGAAATAAAAAAAAAGGAAGCTCAGATCTCGCAGACTAGCAGCAGTAAAAATGGGTTACTACTAAGTATTTAAATACAGAGCGTAGATAAACAAACAAAAATAAACTCTCCTAGGCTGCTGGTGGGAGTGTATATAAGTGGGTGCCACCACTTTGAAGAGCAATTTGTCAGTGTCTGAATAACATCAGACATGCCGGTCCTGGAATTTTGCAACTGATTTTTAGGATTCATGACAATATTGCTGTATTAGGGCAGAACTGGAAATCGCACACATGTCCATCAGTGGGAGAGTGAGGGGAGGGCTCCTCTGAAATGCTCCCCTAAAAATAGGTACACACCTTAAAAACCCAGTGTGGAGCAAACAAATCCCTCTATAAAACAGCACGTAGGGTGTGACGCATTTCGTATGAAGTTTGGAAACATGCAGTAGACACACAGGTACATGTATGTTACACGATAGCAGGAGAAAGATGAGCACAGAATTCCCTAGAGCAGGGTGCTGAGTGCTTGGATGTTTGCTACTGAACTAGTGTCTTTACTTTTAGTTTGAAATGTCACAGTGATGATCATACATTCAGATTTATGTGACTATCAGAGAGAGTGGTTCATGGATTCCTTGTATGGGCATATTTCTGGGCACTGGGGTTCTTGAGAATTTTTAAAAATTTTTTGGTACAGGTGATGGAACTCACAACCTCAAGCTTGCCAGGCAGGTGCTTATGCTGGTGAGCTAAATCCCTGGCCCTGCATTGGGATTTGTGATGCTCCTCTCAAATGATATGGTGAGCTCCCTGATCTCAGGGCCCCCCCTTTTTTTTTTCCTTCTTTAAATTCCTGGTGCTGATTGTAGTGTGGAGGTTCAACCTGTGTTTGTTGATTGACTGACTGAATATGTGGGAAATGAGGGAGTGCAAAAGGAGGAAGGGAAGGAGGAATATGATGCGGAGCTTGAGACCCTGGTGCCTTGACTGCCTACCGCTGATACGGACTCATGTGGAGAGAGACGGATGGGCTGGCGGAAAGGTAGGGCGTTAGACCTCCTGGACTTGAGGAGTGATTAGTGGGAGAGTGTCCTGAGCCTCCCCCTTGGGAGCAGCACCCGCCCGTAGGGTGGCAGGCTCAGGAGGAACACTCGGTGGCTCTAGGCAGTGCTGAGGCTTCTGGCTCTCACAGTGCAGCTCCTTCCAGCCCACGCAGGTCTCCAGCCGAGGAGAGGCTGGGGCTGGAAATGTCACCCTTGTGATCTGAGGAAGGTGACAAGCAGTGAGGCAGGGTGCCCTCCTGCCGGGGATAGAGAAGGCTGCAGGCGGGTCCTGGCATCACCATCAAGGGACTGAGCGGAGAAAGGGCGGGAGAAGGAAATCGAGGGAGCCCAGAGAATGGGTGAGCAGGAGCAGTCAGGAAAGGGCGCTGGAGGGAAGCCTGGGAACCCGAGAGAAAGGGCTGGAAACAACTTGGGAAGTGTGCTGCGAATCAGCAAAAGAGGGTCAGTTGTGGGCTCATGGAGTTTCCCAGGTGCGATGGGCGGGAGCATCTCAGCTCCACACCCTGAGCCTGGTAGCTTCGAGCGAGTGTGCTGAGTCATGAGCTGTGGTGCTTGAGTGTGAGTGTGCACTATCGTGAGCCTGGGAGCTGAGTGTGAGTGTTTAAAAGTGTGGTCACAGCCCAGTTTTCAGATGCTGAACTTGCAAGGTGGAGAGACAGCAAATGGGTGGTGGAGTTGGCCCAAAAAACTAATCGAAGGAAGAGGGAGAGAGGGAGAGAAAGCCAGAGAGCGATGTGGGAGGTGGAGATCATTTGCCAGTGGGGTTTTGTGATTCTAATTAGCACTGCCCACGCGGACACCTACAGCCACTAGCTGAGTACTTACTCTGTGCCAGGCACCTAACTAACATAAATTTCACTCCCTCCATCCTCACAACAGTCCTGTGCAGTGGGGTCTGTAACTGCCTCATTTCACAGACACTGTAACCGAGGCACACTGAGGTGAAGTAATTTACCTCTCAGAGTGCAGAGATGTGCGGAGCATCGTGGGGAAGAAGCCAGAATCCCACACAGTGCATGAGAGGTCGCCCGTGATGGGCAGAGGTTCGTCTCTGCAGATTGCTTCCTGGGAAAAGTGTTTCAGATTACAGTATGAATTTCACTCAAGCCCTAGTGGCGCGGAAATGTACCTACTAGGGACCCACTGTATGTAAAAACAAAACCCTGAGCAAGAACATTTATGAGTTTCTGGGCTTTTGATTCAAGGCAGCTGGTCCTGGGGTAGACAGGTGTATGGTTGTGGCTGAGTGTGAGTGTGTCTCGTGTGTCTCCCTTACTGAGGAGGGGCTCCATGCTCACTCTGGCCCCACAGACATGGCTCCCACTGTATGTTGGGTGGGATCTCCTAGTATCGCAGATGGGGTGCCCAGTTACCCAGGGGAGCCGGTGTGGCATAGGAGGACTTCGTCTGTATTTGGGGAGGGTAGAGGGCCATCTCTGCAAGAGGATGTGGGATGTGACGGAGGTGATCCTGTCCTGACCTCAACTCTTTAGGTCAGTCTGAAAGGACATGATCCCAGGACCCATAGAGACCCCCAGAGCCAGCCGCCTGGCCCTCCTGCACCTTTGCCCTCCAGGCCTGTCCACCAGAAGCGCTGGTCCAAGCTGGAACGCTGCTTCTGTCTGGAAAGGATGGAGCTGAGCTGTCTTCACTTAGCACCGTATTGTAATCACCCCTTCACATCATGACGGCACCTTTTTAACGTCTCATACCCAACTGGACCTCCTTGGAGACCAAGCCCAGCCCATCCTGGAAGTGCTCAGGGCCATGTACTTTCCTCTCTTGTGAGGATGAGGCAGGTCAGTCTCCCCGCTGCTGACCTCTCAGCTTCTTCCTGTGTGGTCCGGGGAGGTGTTGTTCCCAAGTTCACAGAAGATAAGAAGAAAACAAGGCCTCGACACGAGAAAACACCAAGGCGAGGACCTGGCTGGGCTCCCAGCCTCCTGCGGCTCCGGTCTTGGCCGAGCCAAGTCCTGTCCTCATAGTGTTTGCCTTGGATGGTGGAGCAGGTGAGTCAGCCAGAAAGTCACATCCAGCTGGGACGGTCGCCAGATGGGTAGAATGGCAAGTCTCTCCCACAAGCCGAGTTGTCCCAGCTTTTTTCCTACCCCAGTTCTCAGAATGTGTCCTGTGAGCCTGGGGGCCGAATCAGGCCATCCAAGTGGACGGAGGTGGGGTCTAAGGTAGCATGGAGTCGCTCCTGGTGACTTGTCCCTAAACGAGGGAGACGGTTCCCTGTGTGTCCCCGTATTTTCCCCTTGGCCTTGGGGTCAATGACCGCGCGTCTCTCAAAAGCTGCCAGACAGACCTGGCTACTGCCAGCCTTATGGGTGACTGGGAAGGGGACAATGGCCTCACCTCTCTGACCTCTCTAAGAGAAATGACTTTTCCTCACCTTTAAAATAGAAATTGTTGTTTGTACTTAGAAGAAAAAAAGATGGATTCATAGCGATGTCATGGGGTCTTAAATTTCCTACTGAGCACACTATATGGCACAGATGTGGAAATACAGAGTGGGATTCCAGGTCAGCTTTTGATTTTCTAAAGAGGCACTAAATTCTACCCCAGGATTTTGAGTGTGTCCACGTGTGCCGTGTATGATGTATGATGCCATAAGTGCTCTACCACCGACACCTCCAGCCATTTTTATTTTACTTTTTAAAGTTGAAAGAGAGTCTTGCTAGGTTGTCCGGGGTAGCCTTGAATTTTCGATTCTCCTGCCTCAGCCTCCCAGCGGCTGGGATTGTAGGCATATGTTGTTGCATCCAGCTTTTGACATCCATTGCCTACCCTGAGATGCAGGAGTAGATACATGAGACAGGAGGGTCTGGTGGGGAGGAAGTCCCTGAAGCAACCTCTACTGTGAGTCTGGTGTAGGGGACAGGGTGAGCTCTGCACCCTCACCTCAGTCGGTGAGGGCTGGCTTTGCTAAGATCCTAACGAGTGACCCACAGCTGGAGGGAAGCCAGGAGGGAGAGGGGACTCACTGGCACCTCAATGGACCCTGCCAGCCCTCTGGAGTGTTTTCAGGCAAGGGAAGTGTGGGCGTTCCCTCTGGACAGGTGCGGGCCCCATAGGAGACAGCATGCAAAGACTCCATTTAGCTTGGTTCTCTGCTACTGTAGCAAAATACTCGAGACTGGGTAATTGGTGACATATAGAAATTTGTTTGGAGTGTGTAGGTTGAATCAAGCCATAGGAGCTGATGTTGACCAGAGCTTTGTATTTCACACTTTTGTGGGTTGGGATGTCCTAGAGGGCAGTGTTAGCCAGCGTTTGCTCAGCGTCTGCTGGGGCTGTCTTTGATATCACTGCATGGTAGAGGGTGTCACATGGTGAGATCTACAAAACTGCTTGCTCAAGTCTCTTCTCTTCATGAAGATGCTGACACCATCTGGGGACTCTGCCCACGTGACTTCACCTAACCCTGATTACCCGCTGAAGGATCCACCTCCAAATACCGTGAACATGTGAGTTTGGAGGGCTCAATCTCCAGCTCCAATGGAGCTTCTGGGCACCATGTCAAACCGTGACAAACTCCCGACCTCCTTGGGTCCTGTGCAGAGCTGCTTCATAGTTGCGGGCTGGAGGTGATGCCCAGGAGCTGAGGTTGCTGTCTCCACAGTGTCTGAAATGAGACTGGACTTGAGATGCAGCCACAGGTTGGACACAGTCTTGGTAAACAGAGGCTGAGCCAGGAACCTGTGGAGAGGGTATTCAAGCACCGCACAAGAAAGAGGAGGAATTTAACATCTGCCTGGCAAAAAAATCCTGACTCTCATTTACAGCTGCAGCAGCCCCCCTCCAACTTGGTCCCCCAGGACCAGGCTGTAGTATTAGCTGTGGTGTCTGGCTAGGGACACACAGTGGAAAAAGAGAGAGGGTGCCAACACCCTCACGCTGCCTTCGAGGAGGCTTCCAGCTGGTCAGGCTCAAGCTGGGGGACAGAGAAGTGAAGGTAAAAATAAACTCAGAGTTCAATGACTACCTTGAATTAACGCTCTGAGGTCTGGAGTAGCATTGGTTTTGCAACGAAGAGTGACCACAGACTGTTCCGTGTACCAGCAGGAATGTCACAGGCCTGCTGGGTTGTCACCCAGGCTGAGGAGGGTTTCCTTTCCTGAAGATGGATGGTGTTGGGGACAGCTCTCTGGTCACTTAAGGCAGCTGCCTTTGGGCACTGTGCTGGGACACTCCATCCCCTCCATGCACAAAGGTCTCTAGTGCATAATCCATTCACCGTGACGCTTTTTCTCTAGGGCTCATGAAACACCTGAAGCCCACTGTCCGTCGGAAAGCCGAGGGTAGTGTAGTGTAGACGGTTAAGCCTCTGGGTTTGATTGGCATTGGAAGCGCTGCTGAGGGGATTATCGAAGCACATCTCTAGGTGTGTCTGAGTGGGTTGTTGTCTTAGTCATTTTCTGATTCTGAGGCACAATACCTGACACCAACAACTTAAAGGAGGGGAGTTTATTTTGGCTCACAATCTGTTGAGGTTTCGTCCGTAGTCTGCTGGCTTCAGGATAGGATGACTTGGCACCGGGCATGGCAGCAAAATAGCTGCTCTTGGCATAGCCGACAGGAAGCAGGGAGCAGGGGAGGAGCCGGGAGGGAGGGAGAGGGCCTTCCATGCCACTGAGCCCAGCAGCGTGCCGCCTCCTGCCAGCCAGTCAGCTCTCCCCCCACCTGACACAGTCACCTTCCGAAGCCCCACCTGCGTCTGCATGAGGCTCACCTAGCTAGAAACCATACCGGCTGTGGGGGTGTGAGCCTCGGCTCCGCTTGGCCCCTTCCCATGTAGCACCGTAGTGCTCTGCATTCCCGCTGCCATGAACCAAGTAGTTTTGCCCTTCTGCTATAATATTTCTGCTTTGGAGCCAGGTGGCTTTGGACTGAAGTCTCCAAAATTGGGAGTGAAATAGATCTCTCCTTCCTTAAACCGTACAGTATTTGTCCCAGAAATAAGACAGCTGACTACTACGGTCACATTTCTGAAACCAGTAGGGCAGAGAAGTTCTGTTAAGAAAAACCATTTCTTGCTTCTGATGACCTTGATGCTAAGTATGTCAGTCAGGTTTCTGTGGCTGAGACCGAATCGGCTGACAGGAGGATGGGTTTGTTTTGGCTTACAGTTTCAGAGCTGTCAGTCCATGGTCACTGGCGCCATTGCCCGTAGGTCTGCGGTGAGGCAGAAAAACTGTGGTAGGCAGCACATGGAGGAAGAAAGCTGCCAGCATCATGGAGGCTATGGAACCAAGAAAGAATGAGAAGACTTACTGGATGACTTACTTCTGCCAGCTGGGCCCTGCCTTCAAGTTCCACCATTTTTATTTTTATTTTTTTGGTACTGGGGATTGAACTCATGACCTTGAGCTTGTCAGGCAGGGGCTTAGGCCTCTGAGCCAAATCCCCAGCTCTGGTTCCACCATTTTTCAACCTCTGTTTAAAATGAGGCCACTAATGGGTAAATGTATTCATGAAGTCAGAGCAGTACTTTCAACATTTCTTTAAAAATTTTGTTTTTTGTTTTTTTAAAGTATCTAGTAATTTATTTATTTATTTATTTTAAAATTTTATTTTGAAAGTAGTAAAATACAACAGAACAAGACAGAATAAAGCCAACTGAGACCATGTAGAAATTGGTACAGAACTTCACAGAAGGTTACTGGGATAACAGTAATAGGTATCACAGTATATTTCATTATCTTTACAATAGTTGTTCTTTCAATCATGTATATCAAAATACAATGAAATACAGAACATTATAGAACTTATCAAAACAGAATATTGAATAGAGCAGTACCATTAATCAGAACAGAGCAAAACAGTAGTAAAAATATTTGCCTTCAAAGAGATGGTAGAAGGAAATCCCCCTTATTTCCCATGGTCAGCCTCCCAAGAGATGCTCAGATTTCTAGTCCCCATTTGCTAATGATGGGGGGACAGAAGAAGGCGGGTAAGGGAAGTGGGATGTTGGACTCTGGGCCGGGCACTAGTAGGTTCATTATTGCTTAGCAGGGAGGCAGGCTGCTTGCTTGGTTTCCCAGCTTCGTAAGTTCCAACATGGCGCGGATCTCAGAAGAAAAATTTTCTCCCTATTCTTATTTCTTCTTTTGAAATCCATATTCGAGTGATATTTGACTTCAGAAACTACTGTCCATATTTCTTAAATATGTTGTCATATTTTTTTTTCCTGCATGTTGAGTTTCACAAGAATTCCTCACTTGGTCTTATGATCTGGTAATATTTTTTTCTAACTTTAAAACTGTTTTATTGTTGTTGGAACACTTGTGATCTCCCTTTCTAAGGAAAATTTAGAAGAATGAGACAAACATGGCCGGTAGACACGGTGTTCAGAGCGGTGCCCTGGAGTTTCTCATCTCGCTTGACAGACGCTTTTTGCCCACTGATCAGTTCCTCCCCCAGCCCCTGGTAACACCATCGCACTCTGTGATTCCCTGAGTTTCACTGCTTTGTCATAAAATGGAATCATTCAATATTTGTCTTTCTATGCTGCCTTATTTCACTTAGCACAGTATCTTCAAAGTTCATCCATGTATTCACATATTGCAGAATTTCCTTCTTTTTAAAGACTGAGTGGTATTCTCTCTCTCTCTCTCTCTTTCTCTCTCTCTGTCTGTCTGTCTCTCTTTCTTTTTGTGTTTGTGTGTGCACTCAGGGCCTCTGCACTGACCTACAGCTTTTATTTTGAGACAGGTGTCTTGCTAAATTGCTGTGTTGCTTTGGCTGGGTGTGAACTTGTGATCCTCCTGCTTCAGCCTCCTAGAGTGCTGGGATTACCACCACGCCAGGGTCAATTTTCTTTGACCCTGTGATGGAGAGGTAAGTTTCTCCTTCCTTTGGGCATTTTGGACATTGCTGCAAGGAATGTAGGAGTGCTAATATCTCTCTGAGATCCTGATTTCAATTCTTTTATGTAAGTACCCAGAAGTGTGATTACTGGCTCATATAATCATAATATTTATAGTTCAAAACATTTTTAAAATTTTATTTATTCATTTATTTTTGAGGCAGGGTCTTTCTTTGTAGCCCAGGCTGCTTTGAATGTGTAATGATTTTCCTGTCTCAGTCTCCCTAGTGCTGGAATTACATACCTGTTGCTCTAATTTTTAAAAAGAAACTTTCATATTGGGTTTTTAAATATCTAATGGCAGTACCATTCTGTACATACATGAATAGATGTGGGGCCTCAATTTGCCACACATTCTCTTACTCCGTCTTCACTTTTTTGATAATCACCATCCCGACAGGTATGAGTGATCTCTTTTTTCTTTTTATTTAAGGAGAAAAAGAAAAAAAAAAAAAACCAAAAGGGTACAAGTAATACAAAATTTAAAAAATAGACAGTAAGAAATCACCAGTCAATAGATTACATACTCTCATCTTCAAAATAGTTGTTCAAGTTACAAAATTAAAGCATACAAAGTGGACTTTCAAACAGTGAGAATGCAAACAGTTTTGTTCAATGATCCAAAAAAACTCAGCAATATGGTTATCCATCCTACACACTCAAACATATATGCAGTATAACCTTTAGAGCACCTTCTTTTCTTTTCTTTTGTACAATGACAATTACACATTTTGGGTTTTATTACTCCCACAGTTCTTATTACTTCTTTTGAAGAGAGTAAAACCAAACGTGACATATCAGAACAGAGTCAGTCAAATCAAAATGATGGACATAATAGATAATAAAAACAAAATACAAGGTGATCAACAGTGGTTACCATACTGCCTCTTGCTATCTTAAGAAGAATTGCCTATATCATCAGTTATAATAAAATTGAACAAAATAGTAAAGAATAAAACCAAAACATTGGAGACATTACAGGACTTCAAAAGAAGATAATAGTCAACCAGAATGGGCGTCATAATGAATTTCACTATCTTCACAGTTATGCCTATACTTTCGAACTTGGCACTATCAAGGAAAGCAGAATAGGGGAAAATCAGTCAAAACAAGATGGTGAGGGCATACAGGGTTTCAAATCAAGTTAATAGGAAATCAAAATAGGTTACTATAATGTCTCCTGCTATTTTTTATTTATTTTTCCCTTAATTAAAAAGATAAAAATAAAAAAGTAACTAATTTAAAAAAAATGGGGGGGGGATTGAGATAAAAGAGGGCATAACAACAGAACAGCACAGGTCAAAACATAACCATTTAAGCAAAATAGTGTTTCACCTCAAGATATCCTGACATAAAAGTAGTTACCATAGTGACTCTTTCCTTGAAATCTTTGAATATAACTTCATATACTGTAGCACCAAACATATCAAGACACTGTAAAACCATTCAAGAGAATGATATTATTACAGGGTATTTAGAACCAGCTAACAGAAAATGAACAATGGTTTCTGTATAATCTTCTTGTCTATAAAAGTTTTTGCTCATATTATCACATATAATAAAATCCGATAAGATACAACCTTTTAAGACAGATGGAGACAGAAGAATACAAGCTTGATGGGACTTCAAACCACGATGATACTAAATCAGCACTAGCTATTATGATGTCTTGTTTTCTCCAAAATAGCTGTTCTTACCATCCAATCTTCTCTGCCTCATTTCTGTTGAGATCTTTTTCTGTCGTTTGTTGTCAGTTTATCTTCTTCATTTCGCTTTCTGCTCCATTCATTGTGGCCTCTCTGCCATTATTTCTGGAATCTTGGTATTTTTCTTTTTTAGAATATCCTGCAGTATTCTCTGTAGAGTTGAATTGGTGGTTGCAAATTTCCCTAGTTCCTCTTTATCCTGGAAGCACCTTGTTTTTCCATCAATTTCCAGGGATAGTTGTGCAAGATATATCAATCTTGGCTGGAGGTTATTATCTTTCAAAGCTTGAATTATTTCCCCCCACACGCTTCGTGATTTGATAGTTTGTGCCGAAAAGTCTAATTCTGATGGGTGTTCCCTTGTAAGTGATCTGTTTCTTGTCTCTGATGGCTTTTAATATTCTGTTCTTATATTGGATTTCTGGAATTTTGATTATGTGCCTGGGTGTAGCTCTGTTTGGGTTGTAGGTGGCTGGGGTCCTGTATGCCTCATACATCTGAGTATCTTTACCTTTTGCTAAATTAGGGAAATTCTCTTGGATTATTTCTGTGAATAGCTTTTGTAGTCCATTTGTTTGTGTCCCTACTTCTTCTTTTATGTTCTTAATTCTTAAGTTATAATCCTCTTATCATCTTCTAGCCTTTGTATTATTGCTGTTTTTTTTTTTGTCTTTTTCATTTTTTATTGGTACCAGGAAATCGAACTCACGACCACCTGCTTGCAAGGCAGGTGCTTATGCCGCTGAGCTAAATCCCCCACCCCAGCTGTTTGTTTTTTTGTTATTTTTAAGAAGTTTTCCATTTCATGCTCCCATATTACGAATCTGCCCTCCAGTTCAGATAATCTATCCTTAGTTTCTTTCAAGCTGTTATGCCAGCTTTCAATAGAGTTTTTAGTTTCCTAGTAATCTCTTTGAACCTGCTTCACATATTCTATGTTTTCTCTATTTTCTCCATCAAACAATTCTCCCCTTTTTTTCTGTTCTTCCATTCCACCATCTGTTTTTTCTTGGGCAGTGCTTAGCATTTCACTAACTATTCTACTTATATCTTGCTTTAGGTCGTTAATAACTTCATTCCTAAACTCGTCTATGAGGCTCTGGAGATATCATTTTATGTCTATTGGTGCCATGTCTGATACTGCATGTTTCTCAGGATTGGGGGATTTCCTTCTGTCTTGTTCTGGTCCTAGATCTGCAAAGTCAATGAAACAATGCCAGCATTTGTAACTCAGTTGTTATTAACTCAACCAGTCCTCCACATCACCCAGGTTATTTATAGGGGAGGAGGAGGAAAGCATAGTGTTCTGGATCCTCAGCCCAAGTCCAGGTCGGTCCACAGGAAGGGTGAGCTGCCTTGTCTCTCTTCCTGGGCCCTGTATGCTTTGCACCCTACTGTATATTCTTAACACCTTATGGAAGATCAGTTGATTGTATGCATGTGGGTTTGGTTCTGTTCCATTGGTCTATCTGTTTGTGTGCCAACACCATACTGACTTAGTTATTGTAACTTTGCAGTGTATTTTAAAGTCAGAAAGTGTGATACCTTCAGCTTTTTAAACTTTTTTCTATTTATTTGACTATTCATGGTCATTTGTGATTCCACATGAATCTAAGCATGTTTTTCCCACACTGGTAAAAATTTCCACTGGGGTTTTGACAGGAATTGCATTGAATTCCTAAATCATTCTGTTTTGTTTGGGCATTATAACAGTATGAAGTCTTTCCTTCCAAGGTCATGGGAGTCTCCCAGCTTGTTTTTGTCTTGTTTTCTTTCATCGGTGTTTGGTAGTTTTCATTAAGTTCTACTAAGTTTGTGCCTATATGTTTTATTCTTTTGGTGTTTAGTGTAAGTGGAATTTTCCTCATGAATTTCTTTTATTGTATGTATATTTTTTGTTGTTCTCTTATTTTTAAAGCATTTTTTCAAATTTAAGATTTTTCCATTATTTACTTATTTTTGTTCATCTAAGTTTTCTCCAATATTTTTAGTTTACGCCTGCTGTAAATAATGATGATGCTCATTGTGGGGTGCTGGTGCACATACACACAGCAAAGCCGCATCCTTTTTGTTTCCCCCCTGTCCCTATCGTCCCCCTTTATCTCTTGGTCCCTTTCCCTTTTACAAAAGATTGATGTCCTTGTTTCCTATCTTTGATCTCTTATTTTGCCCTTTAGTTTATTTATACTGTGTTTCTCATGTAAGAGAAACTATGTGCAGGCTGGGCGTCGTAGCTCACACTTGTATTTCAGCACTCTCAGGAGGCTGAGGCAGGAGAATCACTGTGAGCTGAGGCCAGCTTGGGCTACATAAGTGAGTTCAAGGCCAGCCTACATAGTGAGATTCTGTCCCCTCCAAAAAAAGATATTTAAACCTGTGTGTCCTGATTTATTTCACTGTAAATTTCTTTTTAGTTTGGAAGTATATAGAAACATACTAATATATGTTGAAACTGTACTGAATTCATTTATTAGTTTGACTAGCTTTTTAATGGAGTCTTTTAAGATTTTCTGTTTAAATCTTTAAAACTGACAAATGAAAACTTTATATACTTATGGGGTACAAGGTGATATTTTAATATGCACATGCATTGTAGAATGATTAAATTAAGCTAATAAACATTTCCATCACTTCACATGTTCATTACTTTAATTTTGTGTTATTATCTGCTTGGTCCTGCTTTGTAAGAATCTTTTTGGTTTATGTCTTTCTTGTACTCTGAGTAACTACTTTAAAATTAATGATATGCAGTAAATTAACTATTTTTTAATTTAAAGAGTAAAAAGAAAGGAAAAAAAAAACCCAAAGCAGTAAGAGGGTACAAGTAATACAGAATTTCAAGAAAAAAATATACAGTTAGAAATCACTAGTTAATAGATTTCATATTGTCATCTTAGAAACAATTGTCCAAATTACAAAATTAAAGCATAGAAAGTGGACATTCATACAGTGAGATTGCAGACAGTTCTGTCCAATGATCCAACAAAAACTCAGTAATATGGTTTTCTATCCTACACACTTAAATATACATGCAGTTATTTCCTTTAGACCACTTTCTTTTCCTCCCTTTTTTACAATAACAATTATGCTTTTTTGGTTTTATTACTCCCACAGTTCTAATTACTTTTTTTGGAAGAGAATAAAACCAAATGTGACAAAACAGAGTCAGTTAGAACAGAAGGATGGGCATAGTACATGATACAAAAATAGTATAGCAGGTGATCAAAAATGGTTACCATTATGTCTCTTGCTATTTTAAAAAGAGT